CAGGGTCCCAATACATCGAAGAATGTCTCTCTTCCCAGGATGTCCCTGGATATCCTGGAAGCAGGCCACACCCCTAGGGAAACTCCCCTTGGGCAGATTGGCCACTCAGAACACAGTCATCTGATCCCATCATGGGAACAACCACACAGAACTGGGGGCCAGCCAAGTTGACACACAGCTCCAACTATCACAATGGGTGTTGAGTGTGGATCCAAGTAAAATGAACTCCTTGACAACTTGAATCTTTTCCCCATTTATCATGATGTTGCTTACTGGTGCAGTTTTGAGGATTTTCGTTTTCTTTACATTGAGGTATAATCCATACTGGATCCTGCAGTCTCTGACCTCCATCAGCAAGTGCCTCCAAGTCTTCAGTTCAGCAAGCAAAGCTATGTCATCTGCATATTGCAGGCTGTTAATGAGTCTTCCTCTAATCCTGATGCTGCCTTCTTCTTCATATAGTCCAACTTGTTAAATTATTTGCTCAGAATACTGATTGAATAAGTATGGTGAAGGGATATAACATTGACACACATCTTTCCTTGTTTTAAACCCCTTTTTCTTGTTCAAACAACTGTTTCTTGTTCTCTGTGTAAGTTCCTCATGAGTACAATTAAGTATTCTGGAATTCTCATTCTTTGCAATGTTATCCATAATGTATTATGATTCAAACAATCAAATGCTTGCATAGACAACAAAACACAGGTAAACATCATTCTGATGTTCTCTGCTTTAAGCCAAGATCCATCTGACATCAGCAATTATATTCCTCATTCCATGTCCTCTTATGATGCTGGATTGAATTTCTGGCAGCTCCCTATGTACTGATAGAATCATTTTTGAATTATCTTCAGCAAAATTTTACTTGTATGTGATAGTAATGACTGTTTAATAATTTCTGCATTCTTTTGGATCATTTTTCTTTGTAATCAGCACAAATATGGATCTCTTTCAGTTGGTTGGCCAAGTAGATGTCTTCCACATTTCTTGGCATAAACAAGTGCCTCTAGCACTGCATCCATTTACTGAAACATCTCAATGGGTATTGCATCAATTCCTGGAGCCTTCTTTGCCAGTACCTTCAGCATAGCTTGGACTTCTTCCTTCAGTACTATTTGTTCTTGACCATATGCTATCTCCTGAAATGGCTGAATGTCAACCAATTCTTTTTGGTACAGTGATTCTGTGTATTCTTTCCATCTTCTTTTGGTGCTTCCTGCATCATTCAATATTTTGCCCATACTAACTCACTGATGTCGAGTCAGATCTGACTCACAGTGACCCCTCGTGTTTCTGAGGCAGTATCACTAAGGAAATAGATTGCCCAATCTTCCTTCCGAGGAGCAGCTGGTGTGTTTGAACCGCCAGCCTTCTGGTTAGCAGTCAAACGCCTTAGGCACTACATCACCAGAGTTCCTATTTTGCCCATAGTATCCTTCAATATTGCAACTTGAGGCTTGAATTTTTTCTTTACTTCTTTCAGTTTGAGAAACAGTGAATATGTGCTTCCCCTTTGATTTTCTAACTCCAGGTCTTTGTACATTTCATTATAATACTTTACTTTTTGCTCTCAAGCCACCCTTTGAAATCTTCTGGTCAGCTCTTTTACTTCATTCTTCCACTTATTTTATTTTTATTTTTTATTCTTCCATTTATTTTCACTACTACCTGTTCAAGTGCAAGTTTCAGCATCTCTTCTGACATCGATTTTGGTCTTTTCTTTCTTTCCTGTCTTTTTAATGACCTTTTGCTTTCTTCATGTGTGATGCCCTCGATGTCATCCTGCAACTCATCTGGTCTTCAGTCACTGGTGTTCAAAGCATCTAATCTATTCTTCAGATAATCTGTAAATTCAGGTGGGATATACTCAAGGTCATATTTTGGCTCTCTTCCTAAAACAGACATCAGGTTGAATTTAGGGAAAATTAGGCTGATTGCCACTGGTTAGATTTGAGAGAGTTGGTCAACCTAATATTCACTTTTCTATAGTAATCAGCCTCTGTTCTAATTTTCATAAGCATAGTGGCCTTGTTTATTCAAGTTAGGGGAGATAACTACAAATTCTGTGCAGAAATGTCAAAAATGATCTGGGCCTACTTCTCTTTTGGGGACTCAAAGTGGTCTCTTTCACAACTATTAAATGTAAAAGAATGTCTACCTTTTAATCCCTTTGAAAATCATTAGCCTCTTCTTTTGTCTCTCTCTCACAAACACATGCAACAATCTCACTGAAAGCAAACTCTGAACAATATTTTTCAGAAGTGAGGTCTTTTCAGGGAGCCCTGGTAATACAGTTGTTAAAGAACTCAGCTGCCAACTGAAAAGCTGGCTCTTTGAACCCATCAACTTTAGTGGTGGAGAGACAGTGGGAGAGACCCACTGTATGTATATAATGACCATACAGTGCCATGGGAGAGAATTAGGGATGGCATCACAAGAAAGGAAGGCTTGAATAGAAACGTTATAGGGCACAGGGGTGTCCAGCTGGGAATGGCAAAAATATGCAGGTATGAAAACAAATGTTATATCCAGGATACAGTGAGTAGTTTGGAATGGCTTTGGCATGGAGTGTAGGCTAGAAAGTGGCAGAAAATTGAAGCTTAGAAAGATAACAGATAGTTATCTTTGCCATGCAAGGAGCACACATTTTATCATATGGAAGAACTGCAGGAGGGTGATTAGGCCAGGAAGATAGTGCTGGTGCCAGTATAAAGAATGAACCAGAAGGGACAACCTGAAAACAGGAAATCAATTAGGAGGCTATTGCCAAGAGATGATGGCTGCTAGAGCAGAACAATGAGGACAAAAATTGGCTCCAAAGACAACTGTCTAGGAGGCTGAATCAAATAATTTGTTGACTGTATGTGAAATGTTTAAACATAAATGAAATTTCTAGAATTGCTAGCTTTAACTTGGGTGACTGAAAAGACTTTGGCCTCATAAAACAGAAAATAAGTTTTGAGAGGAGAAGTTGGTTTTGAACTGCATGCTTTCTGGGGTTACAGGTGCTACAATCTGGAGCGTATGTAAGAAGTCTGGGTTAAAGACATATTTGAGAGTCATTATCCTACAGATGATGGCTCAAACTATGAGACTATTCACAGAGAACAATACAGAATAAAAAGAGAAAAGGATCAAGGCAAAAACTTAAGCATAATAGTTTACTTTTCCTAATGTAAAATCAAACATGTCTATATATAGCAAAGAGAAGACGAATGAAATTTTAGAAAAGGAGATTAAAGCAAAATCTGAGGAACTGACACAGAATATCAAGAGGCTTAAGATGATCCACTGGGTTTGGCAATGAGATGGTACTGGGGGTATCACAGGTGCTCTGATGGCACAGTGGTTAAAGCATTCTGCTGCTAACCAAAATGTCAGGGATTCGAACCAACCAGCCACTCTGTTGGAGAAAGATGAGGTAGTCTGCTTCCATGAAGATTTACAGCCTTGGAAACTCCATGGGGCAGTTCTACTCTGTCCTACAGGGTTGCTATGAGTTGGAATCAACTCAATGACAGTGTGTTTAGTTTGGGTTTGGTAGCATCACAGGGGGTGGTGCCATCAGAGGTGGGTTGAAAAGTAAACACCTCAGAGAAAGAGAGAATATATTTAAAAAAAAAAAAAAATCCATCCACAAATCCTTACTAATTCCCTAAATTATTTAAGGAATATAATATTATTGTTTTTGTTAGGTGCCATCGAGTCGCTTCCAACTCAGCGATGCCAAGCACAGCAGAACGAAGCACCGCCCTATCCCGCACCAGCTCCATGATCCCTGCTATACTTGAGCCCATCATGACAGCCATTGTGTCAATCCATCTTGTTGAAGGCCTTCCCCTCTTTCGTTGACCCTCCACCTTACCAAGCATGACATCCTTCTCCAGGGAATAGTCCCTTCTGACAAAACGACCAAAGTAGATGAAAGGAAGTCTGGCCATTCTTGCTTCCAAGGAGCATTCTGGCTGCACTTCCTCCAGGACAGATCTGTTAGTTCTTTTAGCAGTCCATGGTACTTTCAGCATTCTTCGCCAGCACCACAACTCAAAAGCATCAACTCTTCTTCGGTCTTCCTTATTCATTGTCCAGCTCTCACATGCATAGGAGGTGATTGGAAATATCATGGCTTGTGTCAGGCGCACCTTAGTCCTCAATGAGACATCCTTGCTCCTCAGAACTTAGCAGCCCATGTAAAGGAATAAGGAATACAATAGAAATACGTATTATTTGTAATGAATGCATACTTCTATTTAGTCCACATTGCAATTTAAAGAAAGCATTTGAATTTTTTTCTTCTCTCTCCACTATCATTGTTCCTAATCTCCGATTCCAGAACAGCCCTAGAAAATCAAGGAAGCAATGTAAGATGATGGAAGAGTCATCAAGGATTTTATTCAGAATGACAATTTGGCCAAATACATAATGGTATGTAGTTACTGCTTATAAAGTGAGCAAAACTTCTGAATTCTACTTATGCCATCAAACCAAAACCAAACTCACTGCCATCTAGTTTATTGCGACTCAGGCGGTATCACTACACAAGCAGATAGCCCAACCTTCATTCTGGGGAGTGGCTGATGCATTTGAACCGCCAGCCTTCTGGTTGGCAGTCAAACGCCTTAGGCACTGCGCCACCAGAGCTCCTTAGGGAGCGGAAAAGCTGCTGCATGTCCAGCGGGCGCGGTACCGCTAGGGGCAAATGGAGCTCCACGTCACGTGTTGCCAGCCCTGCAAGCATGGCCGACGCGCCCAGGCTCTGCCCCCACGGCCGCTGGAGGCCACTCTTCGCATGGCGGGTACCAGAGCATCCTCAGAGGGGCGCCGGCTCACATGCGACTCCAGTTACCACCGCAGACTAGCTGCGGCCGGAAAGCTCACAGCCAATACTCACCCACTGGGGATACTGTTTTTCTTCACCATGATGAGGGAGGTAAAAAGCTCCTACCACCCAGGAACCCCGCTCTCAGCCGTCTTCCAAAAGACCCGGGGGACAAATACGACCACTGTGGCGCACACCCTGGCCATGGCTTCCGCCAGGCGCTCCTGATGAGCAGGGAATTAGTGACAGGCTCCTCTGCCTCAACTGGAGCAGTAAGCACAGGGAGTGAGAGAATAAAAGATAGCACCGAAGATTCCAGAAGGCTCAAGCTCCGGACCCCGGCTGGCTGAGGAGCCTCATCGCGCATGCTCCTGAACCTGATTGACGTCAAACCCCTTCAGAGCGAGCCTGAGGTGGACTGCTGGCTTGTGTAGCGGACGTCCGGAGCGACACTAAGCCGTTGGTGACCTTTTCTAAGTCCTTGGTAAATTGCGCGTCCTCCCTTTGCTGCCCAGACAAAACAAAAGTGCAGTGTCTATCCAGGTGAATGTGGTGGTATTGCCCTGTAAAGTCCATCCCCATCCTTCCCTGTCACACGCTCTGTATTCTGACTGGAGCCCTACTCTGTGGGAAAAAACAGCTCTGGCCACGGAACCAGGGCAAAACCCACGGGGCCTTAGGACATGTAGTCTGACCCATTCGGTAAACATTTGGGAAATTAATGGCGCTCTGGTGGCCTTGTGCCTAAGGTATTTGGCTGCTAACCAGAAGGCTGGCCGTTCAAACCCACCAGCCATTACTCGGAAAGAAGGCTGGGCAATCTACTTCCGTAGAGATACCGCCTCAGAAACCCAAGGAAGGGTCACTATGAGTCGCAATCAACTAGATGGCAGTGAGTTTGGTTTTGGAGATTAATAGGGTTGAAAACTATTCCATTTTACAGCATTCGTGAGTAGTGTTTGATTTGCATCGTTTCCGGCTGGGCATACAGAGGGCCACTATGAATCATAACTGACTCCATGGCACATGACAACAGTATACTTATTGAATGCCTGTTGTGTGCTCCATGCCTTACTCAGATGGTGGAGTGTAGTTGAGTTTAGGCTCCAGCCCTGATGTTCACTTTAGAGTAAGCAGAAAGAGGAACTTTCAAGGTAGAATGTCATGAATAAAAATTACCATTTTTAATTATAAGTACTGTTAAAGGTCATAAACGGGTTAAAGTCAAGAAAAAAAAAAAAAAAAAAAAAACCCTGGAAAATACATAGTTTGAATTGGCTTTGAAACACGGAGTGCTTGGTTAGGGGGAAGTTACAAAAATAAATGGGGAAGTGGCAGATCTGGATCTAGTCCGATGTTCATGATGGAGAGTGTTGAGCAGAGTTGAGGTGAGGAAGTGGTCATGGATGTATGCAACTTTTGCCTTGCTTTGACATGTTGTTGTTGTTGGTATGTGCCGTCGAGTCGGCCCCGACTCATAGCGACCCCTTCTTGGGTTTCCGGGGCAGTATCACTTCGGAAGTAGGATTGCCCAACCTTCCTCCCGAGGAGTGGCTGGTGGGTTTGAACCGCCAGCCGTCTGGTTAGCAGGCAAGTGTCTTAGCCACTATGCTACCAGAGCTCCCAGGCCTTTCATTTTGACTTTCCATTTTTTTTGTAAGTACAGGCACAGAGATACATCTTCAGGTTTGAAAAAAGACATCACAATACTGAATTGTGTTGAGTTTATGGACTCATGGCCTGTGTTGCTATATGAATTAATAAATTTTTATAAATCATGTATTTAGCTTGTGAGTAGGAGCTCTGGTGGCTTAGTGCTGAGGCATTTGACTGCTCATTAGAAGGCTGGCAGTTCAAACCCACCAGCCACTCCTTGGAAAGAAGACTGGGCAATATACTTCCATAGAGACACTGACTTGGAAACCCAAGGAGGGGTCATTGTGAGTTGGAACCAACTGGGCCACAGTGAGTTTGGTTTTCTCTCTTTTTTTTTTTGTTTGGTTTAGCACCATTACTTTGCATCATATATATGCTTAAAGTGTTCTTTTGTTAGACGTAGACTTTCCAGATAAACCACAAGTTTTGTAACCTGTTTTGGCATTTGTTCAATGTTCATATATGAGAAGTCTGAAAATTGGGAAGTGGTTCCAGATCTTTCTTGACCTCCAGGAGCCAGTTAGTTGGGAGATTATTTGGGAATTGGTCCTCAGAACAGTGAGTGATTTAGTTTTGATGCTTTCAAAGATTTATCATATGTATAAATTCACAGATAAGAAAAACCCTTGTGAGACCATTTATTTCTAGTTTTTTATTTTGAAAATATGATCATGGTTAACTAAAAGATATTTGCAAATTTGCCAGGCAATGGAGCACCTGGAAGTCACGATGCTTTTTGTGGAACATTGTGAAGTATTACCGCATCACACTTAAAGTAGATTTTCTGTTAAGTTCCACCTTTTCCATATTCTAGTATGAGTAAAAGGTAGCAGGTGCCATCTATTTAATGATTTTTTGTTTTAACAAAATATTACCTTCTGCCTTAATTTTGTTGTAAATTTGATTGATACATTTTTTTTTTTCAGACATCCCATCCCAGTTCAATTAGAGAAATCTGGAAAAGCATAATTGGAGAAACACAGCTATAAAGGAGTTCAGAGAGGGGTCATGATACTATATGGCAAAAGATAAACAGAGATTAAGATCTGTAAAGTTATAGGAAATTGGATTTGGGCCTGAATTAACTTCTTCTAAGGGAGAAAGTAGATACATTTTAGAAAGATTTCTATGATCTGGGGGAAAATTAAAGGAAAAACAAATTTCTGGTTAGCTCACAATAACCAAAAAAAAAAAAAAAAAATCACTGGGTAACCAGAATATGTGACCATTCCATGCAGTAGAGATTTCTGCTAGTATTCCTAAAGCCAAATGGCATGTAACAGAAGTAATCAAGGTGATTGAAAATTGTGCTGAAGTCTGTGTTGATTCCTTGACATTTCTATGCAATAGGTGGTACTTCACCTAATAGTTTGGTTCAACTAAAGCAAGTATCAAGGGTTCTTGCATAGTTGTGTATATCCAGAAATGATTTAGAAACTTTTTTGGCAAGCTGCACTCTAGGGAATGGTCTGGGTTTGGATTTAGCCTTTATGTTGAATAACCTCTCTGTTGCAAGGGTATTTGCAGGGCCAAAAATGAAAGTGGAAAAAGAAAATCAATCCCATACCTTCCCTTGATCTTCTTAACTTTCACTGACCTAAACAATAATTTGGAAATAATCAAGCAAGAATTTGAAATTAGATAACTACTACTTATTTTGTTCTACACTTAAGTTGTTCTGTTTGTTTTTTCTTATTAAATTGATGTTTTATCCATTTTTGTTGTGAAATTACAGAAGTTGATAATAACACTAAATATAAATGGCTTGAATGTACCAGTCAAGAGACAGACTGGCAGAATGGATTTAAACAAATGCATGGAAACTGAATAACACCTTATTTTAAAACTATTGGGTAATAGAATAAATTTAAAATTTTTTAAATTCTTTTTTTTTTTAATTGTGATTTGGGTGAAGATTTACAGAGCAGATTCGCCTTCCATACAGCAGTTCACATACACTTTGTCTCATGACATTGACCACAGTTTACCACAATGTAACAGCTCCCCTCCCACTTCCTCCCCATAGTTACCCATTCCCAGTGTCCATCCCTCCATGGACTCCTGCCCCCTAAGCTGTCTCCCTGTGCATAA